AAACAAACACAGAGATCGTTTATCGGTCTTCTGCTTGCGTGGGTCTTTTGTCTGTGACGGGGACGTCAATATCCGTGGACTACCTAGCACTCAGATCTGTTCCGGAAAATCGGACAGAGCTTCGTCGATCCGTGAGGAGATCTAGAAGCTTGAAGCATCTATCTCGGCTAAAACGAGATATCTGCTCTTCTTAGGATTACCGACGAAGGGTAATACTAAGGAACGGGCACGGGTGATGAAGAATCTGATGAAGACATCTCCTCTATTGAAGCGTTCGACCACTCTTCACTGCAGCAGGGCTTCGCCAACTCTCCAAAAATCCAGATCCTCAAAAATGAGGCCTTAGGTGGCTATTTATAGGCAATGGGGGCACCTAGGGTGCCTAGACACCCCTGGGGTGTCTAGGAAAAGCCTAGACACCCCTGGGGTGTCTCAGAAAATCCGAGACACCCCTAGGGTGTCTCGGAATTTCCGAGACACCCTTGGGGTGTCTCGGAATTTTCGAGACACCCTAGGGTGTCTCGGAAATTTCCGAGACACCCCTGGGGTGTCTCGGAATTTCTGAGACACCCCTGGGGGTGTTTTGGAATTCCTGAGACGTCCGTTGAGGTGCATTCGATTATTTTCGCCGTAAATTCTTCGTCCAAACTCGGATTTGAGTGATTCCAAGTGCGTTGGAAGCTTGACGAAGAGTTCTACCTGCTCCAATGGTTGGATTATCTGTAGAATGAACGAGACTCGAAGGGCGTTGTCCTTTTTGTGAACATCGCCGGGTTCCCGATTGGCCCGGGTCTTCGTTGTTCCGAAATCCTATCAGCTCACGTAGTTCGTCGATTCACTTCAATCGTTCATCGACGTGAATTGAACTCCTGTGGATCGGATAGTGATGTTCATCGTCGCTCTTTAACACTGAACCGTTCGTGGAGACCTATAGGTAATTTTCGATGCCTACAACAATGTGCACGCTCAGGGCCTCACCGGTCGACCTCTTAACCTTGGTCGGTCGACCAGCCAGAGAGAAAAACACAAGTTCAGGTTTTTAATGTTTTGTATTTTATAAATTTATTTAAAACTTATTTTTTATCATCATGAGGCATATAACAAGATTAACTCTTTCATAATTTCTTAGTAAGAATTAACTCATCATGATATAAATACTTAAATTAAACTAATTAGGGTTTGACATCCTAATTAATCAAATTTTTACAAATAACCTAATATATAAATATGGTTAAGTAAACATAATAAATCCTAAACATTGAACAGAGATAAATTCATTTCAACATGCTCACATCACTTAGGTATCGTCAACCTAGGGTTTCGACCTTTTTAATTAGCAAAAAAACTCAAATAATTATTAAACTAGGGTTTAAACATGATTTAAACATGATTAATAAATTAAAATAAAAATAAAATCAACCCTAATGATCATGATCATCAACTAATATAAACAACAACTAAATCTATAGATTTTCACTACGGTTTAAAGATTAACATCATATACTAAGATTTTAAAACATTGGGTTAAGCTTAAACATGAGATTCGTCATTTAAACATCTTAAATTTTGAATTAACTATAGGAAAAGGTTTGGAGAAAGATGATCTTGCCTCAAACGCCGTGTTGAACTCCTGAACACATGCGTGCAAGATCCCTCTTCAACAAAGTCGCAAAGTCCCGCCTTCCTCTCGACAAACGACTAAAGAACTCTCCCAAATCTCACAAATTATGATTAGGGTTTGAGAGAGAGGAAGGGGGGCTACTATAGTTTGTAATACTAATGAAAATGTTTTGTGTGTGTAAATATAATATATATATATATATATATATAATATATATATATATATACTAATGAAAAATGTTTTTACAACACAAAACATTTTCATTAGTATATATATATATATATATATATATATATATATATATATATATATATATATATATATATTATATATATTATATATATATATATTATATATGTATATATATATATATATATATATATATATATATATTATATATATATATATATATATATATATATATATATATATATATAAAAGAGGAATATGGGTATACTTGGGGGCCAAGGATCCTTGGTAGTGATTGTGGACAGCATCTTGTCCATACATCACACCTTGGAGTTGTGAGGCTCCATGCTTCAAGGTGTGATGTATGGACAAGATGTGTCCACATCACTACGCAAGGATCCTTGGTACCAAGTATACCCATTTTTCTCAATATATATATATATATATATATATATATATATATATATATATTATAATATATATATATATATATATATATATATATATATATATATATATATCATATATATATATAATGCAACGCAGAATTCAACAGCCAAACCGTAAAAAGGGAACCAAGTCAGACTGAGAAAATAGTATTTGGTATTTTGGGTATAACATTCACGTACGATCTCGAAATGATGTGATTTAAGATGCGTTATAAAGTTATTGAAGATACCTACATCTTTTGTCTTTCTAGTTTTTCTAGATTAAAACTGTATCGGTGTGTAATGCAGATATACTCTTAACTAATCATTTTTCTAGATTTCTTCTTTGTGTATGTTTAAACTTTATATACTCTCATATATACATGTTAATTGATCTCAAATCAACTGTTAGCATAATCATTCATCCATAAATGATATTTATCACAATTAGAGCTCATTTATCAATATAATTCATACTATTTTTCAAAATTCACGGGGTTTTACATGTTTTGACATAGTGGTTTGGTGGCTTGTGCATTTCATCTCTAGTCTCGCATTTGAATTCCCTACCCTTTCTAAATACATATGAAAATTTTGGTTAGGGTTTGTTGTGAACTCAAACCCAACCCGTTTTTGATCCACCATTAATAACCAGACACGTTAGGGTCCTTAGCTCACAAAACCAGATTTGTTGGGTCAGTATGCTATCAAACTAGACTCGGGTGACCCATTTTGATATTTCATAATTACTTTATTTATTTATTATTTTCTAATGGAGTTATGTTGTGTGATGTGATATGATAAACCTCTTAGCTACACCAAATAAGATAGATTGTATATGAAGACGACTCTTGTCAAATGTATGATTTATAATCATACTATCGTAGTATTGCAACACCCTCGACATCAGTATTCTAGTGTGAGGTTTTTTGTGACTGTCATTATTATTATGGAATCGACTAGATGGTACGTCCATCTTGATTAGGCATGTTCTAAATCATGGTTATCCTTCATAGTTTACGGAAGTCACTCCATAGTAACCCCATGGTTAATGCATAGCATTTCATTTACAGTCACTTAAAAATAAACATATAAACATGGGTTTAGTAATGGGGAATTGGACAGATCAGAATATAAACTGTACATAAGAGGTTTTATGTGCGTACATGATATCTTGAGTTATATATAAGGGACAAATGCCAATGTCTGAGTTCAAGACTTGTTCTTAGGACTTTTATGGGAAAGATGACTTATATACATTAAAGTATTCTTTTCTAATTCTAATAATAAATAATAAAATGCAATGTGCTTGCGTGATATGTGGTTGTGCTGTAATTGACATATGTAGTTAATACAGTTAATTTTGGTCACCTTTAATCTAGTTTTCATCTTTTGTTTATTATCTGTTACATACATCTACACATGCACAATTTTTTTATTTTACATGCTTGTTGGGAGACTTCCGACTCCCTTGGGATTTGCACACTCCAGACTCGGGGACTGTCCTTTCTTCGCAAGATCAAGAGTATCTTGATGAGCAGGCCTAGCAACAATGATCATCATCCTATCTTTTTCATTTCTTCAGCTTCAGTTGTTTAGGCAGTTTATTTGTGTTAATCGTTTATTTGAGACACTTGTGGCTTTTCCAGACGATGATATATTTCTTACTCCTTTCCATTGCGGTTTGATGTAACTAAAATCTATCTTTCTGGAGATTTATTTAAAATAACTATATATTTCTTTTGCTATCTTAGGTACATGCTCTATGATATAATTTTTTTTGTTATATAATTATGTATAGAATGACATAGAGATGACCATAAGGTTGCATCGTTGGTTGAGTCACGTTCCAACTTATACAAATTTTGGGAACCGGTGCATGACAAGGGTAGTTTGCAACTTTTTAGAATTTTCAAGTGGTTGTTTATAATTTTCAAATTTGTAGGAGGTATTTTGTAATTTTTTACTTTTTTCAAGGACACTTTGTAATTTCAGGTTTTTTTTAAGGAAAGATGTCATATATAGTTTTAAAATTTGAGGGTTAAGTGCCAACACTTTAAAACTTATTGCAGGTTTTCTTTGAAACTCTACTATGGGAATTTTGGTAATTTGAACACACATAATCTAGCTGTTTTTACTTTTGGGGTTTTTTGCTAAAAAAGTATTGAAGATTCAATTAGATTTTTAAAGTTTTGAGGGTTTTACTACAAATAGTACAACTTATTAAGGGTTTAGTGCAATTTACCCTTAAAATAAAGAAAAATATATGTCCACGCTTGCCCATCTAAGTCAGAAAAGTACGTGTAGTAATTAGAACCATTTATTGATGATTAATCTTAACGGTTACTGAATACTCTAGTTACCATGCTACATAATCCGAGAAACGTTTCACAATCTTATGTAAAGCCCATCACCGTATGAGCCTAAAGAAATCTTAAACAATAAATCAAACGTATTAATTAAGTTTCCGCTAAACTTTATTTAAGAAAGGCCAATGATCTTTGTCCCTACAGAGCAAAATTCCATATGCGTACCCAAATCAATCAGCCCTATCAAAGATACCATAAAACTTAGAACGGCAAATGAGAGAAAAAATCAAGTCCCCTCACGTCTCAGAAGTCGGTCGTCGGTGGATGCTTTGCTGTCAAAACCCTACGTACTTCTCCAAATCCTCTCTCTTTTTGACCGGTTCCTTCTTCGCTTCTACATAAATTCCTCATGCTTTCCTTCAAACAAGCATCAGCAAGTTTCAGCTCATCATGATGGGTAAGCAGTTCCTTCTCCTTCTTAAAGCTATTGTCATCGTCGGCGTTGCCCTCATCAGAGAAACCTCTTCAGAGAGCTTCTCAACTGACGTCGATGTAACCGGTGGCACGGCCAACGTGCAGGATGGCGGTAACCAGCTGCAGCTAACCCTCGACCAGGCTGGTGGGTCCGAAGTGCAGTCGAAACAGAAGTATCTTTACGGGAGGTTCGATATGAGGATCAAGGTTGTGCCGGGCTACTCTGCTGGAGTCGTCACCAGCTTCTTCGTATGTTACATCCTTATACGAACCTAGTTATACAGTGCTCATTCATAAGTACTATAATTACTATACAGTGCTCATTCATATGTACTATGACTATGCAGTAGGCATTATATACTAAGTAATTGACGATGTTGGAAAAAAAAATTAATACTTGAATCGTTATATTTCTCTTCAATTAGTCTTGTTCTACGCTGATATAAGGGTAGATGGTTTTCAAATTGCGTGCAAATGTTTAGTGGAAAAGATGTATTGGATGATTTTTAAGTCGTACATGGAAGATTACAGGGAAGATTGCTTCAAGTTCCGGAACTCTGAAGAGTTTTTTCTTCCTTTTCTTTCTTCGATCTCACCACTATCGTCGTCCCACCTCCTCCTCCACTCCACCACTACCACTACCTTCTCCTCCGTTAGCACCTTCTCCTCCATCTAATATCCTCCCTCTTCCTTTGTCCAACTTTTATCTTTTTCCCTCATCAATTCGCCAACCATCGCGAGCTCTTTCATTTCTCTCTCATGAACCCATGAACCCATCCTCTTCCATCCTCCACCACCACTCCCTTCACCCTTTCCTTACTTCACCACTTCTGCCTCTGGAAAGGGCATGTCAAAGTTAACATCTAACATTTAGACTTTAAAGTTAATGTTTAAGCTCTAAAATAAGCAGAGAATTTTCAAAATTAGCAGTTGTTGATGTTAAGTAACCAAACAGTCAAATATGTGATGGGGGTGAGATTGATTTGGAGCCGATCACTTCTCCGAATATCTAGCTTTGAGTTGGGTAGCTTAAGCCTACACAAATAGGATCATGAGATGATAGGGTTTGGTTCCCCGTTGTACCTCCGACAATCAAGTCAGCTGGTGAACTTGAGTGAGAAATTGAAGAACTATATGAGCTTTTCAGTATAGTACAGTGTAATATGCAGATATTGCTTATCAGTAAAAAATCCAAGATCCCTTTCAGTAAAGAATAATACCTCTATTTATAGTGGTGATGAAAGGGTAGAATGATCACTTTGGCCGAGCAAAGGATGGCGGTAAGTAGGTATGGGCTGGCGGCTATGTCAGCACATACTTTACACGTACCGGTAAGTGAGTCGATGAGAGACCACCTCAGTATTAAATGAGAAGTGATCGGAGGCATGATGACACTGATATGATCTGATGAGTCATGAAGACTATCAGAGCTAGAGGTATGAAGTGTCTGCCAAGCATTAAATGTGATGCCGACATGCTGTTAGGTGGAGAGGCTCGAGGCTGAAGGCGTCTCTTAGCTTGGTCAAAAAGTAATGCCTTTCGAATCGACCTCACGGGGCGTCAAAAAGCTGGTCGAGTGGGCCTATAGTGAGTCGTCTTCGACAAGAGAATCGACAAGTACCACCATTCGAGTCGACCTAAGGAGATGTTGACTCGGCAAGTCGGCTAAGTTGAGATTTTTGATAGTTTTGACCATCAATCTGAATTGAGGAGTGTATGTAGGGAGACACCTGTCCGTTGCTGGCAAATGGCCGTATTTTGACGACTGAAAACACCATAACAATAGTTAACACATAAAGTTAACGTAAATATTAAAGTTAACTTTAACAAATTTTTTGTTAAAATTGACATGTTATTTTGTTAAATTTAGTTGGTTTTTTGGTTATTTATTAACTTCAGTTTAAATATTAAAATTTAAAGATAACATTTAAAATTAAAAATAAAATCCTACATCCGGCCTCCTCCCTCCTTCTCACTCCTCTTATTTCCGTCCTAACTGACTCTCTTCATTCTTGCTTCCATTTCCGTCCACCTACCTATGTGCTCCCTTCCTCTCCATTCATCCTACACCCCCCCCCCCCCCCCCCACCCTTTCTTTCCTTCTGTCTCCACAAAAAAATGGACCTTAGAGTTAATATAAAATGTAAAGTTAATTTCAATACTGTTTTCTTGTTAACCTTGACATATTATTTTATTAATTTAATTGTTTCTGTGTTAACTTTAAATAATAAGTATTAAATACTTTAACTAAAGTTATCAATTAACGAAAAAATCAAAATTAGCCAAAAAACATGTTAAATTCAAAAAATTATATATTATTACATAATAACTTTAATATTTGTATGCTGATTTCTGTGTTAACTGTTAATTTTAAAGCTTCTATGTTAAATTTAAAGCTCAAATTAATGTTAACTTTAAAGTTCAAATATTAAGTTTAATTAAATGTTAAATGTGAACCTCGATGTGCCTTTAGTGTAGGTTGAATCCACGGAGAAAGGAGGCGATGATGGGAGCAGTGGTGGGTGATAGAGAAGGAAGTGTTCATGGATTCATGAGGGAGAAATGAAATGGACTCATGATTATTAACTAATTAATTGATGCCATAAGGATCGATCAAGGTGGGACAAAGGAAAAGGGAGGATATAAGATGGAGACGACGATAGTGACGGAGGAGGGGTAGCAACTGTGGGGAGGAGGGTTGAGGGTGAATGTGAGATGGAGGAATGAGAACGGGGAAGATTCATGGGTTGATCATGAGAATGAGAACAGAAAATGAGAGGTTGAAGATGAGGTATTTTAGAGAGAGTAAAAAATATTAAAAAGGTAAATATGGTTATTGTGCTAGAAATTACAATAAGGCCAGGGTTTAGAACAAAGAGTTTCAAAATATTAGGGCTATTTGGTAATTGAGTTGGTCAAATTGTCTTTGAAGCACAAATTCTCATAGTTTGGACTTCTGAAGTAATTTTCCCAAAATTTTGACTGAACTACAAACTTTTCGTACCGCTTTGAGCTTTGAGAAACAAATATCTGAGGTTCTTTTACATAAATTAATGTCATAAGATGTTTTTAAATACCCCCATTTTTTTTCTCAGGGTACAAACTTAGTGCAGAGTTGACAACATAGAAGCAGTAATTTTCACGTACTAGTATAGACGTGCCTACACAGAATAATGTGCTTATATATGTAATTCAATTTCATGCCCTTAATCAATTATGATTTATTCATGGATGCGTGCAGCTTCAATCACCACGTCCAACAAATGATGAGATGGACTTTGAGCTGTTAGGGAATGTGACTGGAGAGCCTTACCTATTGCACACCAACGTGTGGACTAATGGAGTAGGTAACAGAGAGGAGCAAATCAATCTGTGGTTCGATCCTAGAGCCGACTTTCACACTTACACCTTCATATGGAATCCTCGCAATATAATGTAAGAAGCAATATTTCACAAGAAAATATTCAACAATTGATTCTATTAATGCATCGGGAGGCGTGTTAAAGATTGTATGAATGTATAATTCGTTAATCCAAATAATGAAACGGCTAACATCTGTTTGGGGCATAAAAAATAAAGTATATAGGAACCACATTAGATTTTCTTTTTTCTTTTCTTTTTTTATTTTTTGTGCATATTTTATTCATTTTTATGAGTCTAGGTTTTGTTTCAGAATTTGGATCCTTTTTACTATCAATTTACAGCCGAGAGACTACTTTTTAAATCAAAACATTACAATAAGATTGATCTGTTACTAAAAAACTAACTTGGTTATTACGTATAAATTGCACTAACCTGGTATGGATCCCATCCACATCAAAAATTAGCAGTGAAACCATTATTTTTAGTCACAATTGTTTTACTAGATGGTTAAGATTCATTTCAAAACTTAGCATTTATATCTTTTTCCCCATTCCAAATCTTAGCGTTTATACCTTACTAAATAAGTTAATCTTAGTATATACATCTATCATTCGCAGATGGTTTGTTGATGGAACACCTGTGAGACTTTTCAAGAATGCACCTCAGCAGGGAGTCCCATATTTGAGCAAACAATTCTTAAACGCTTACGCTGCCCTCTGGAATGGTGACGAATGGGCGACGAGGAGAGGGCAAATCAAGACCGACTGGAGCAAGGCACCATTCGTGGCAACCTACCGTAATTTCAATTCTGATGCGTGCATAAACGCTGGCAGAGGCTACCGCTGCTCGCAGAATAGAGGACAATGGTGGGATATTACTCTTGATGCTAGGCAGCTAGCAAAGCTGAGGTGGGTGAGAAAAAATTACATGGTCTATGACTATTGTCGTGACACCACAAAATATCCACAAGGGTTTCCACCAGAATGCTCCATTAATGTGTGAATGACAGGCATGTAACTTGCAGAAAGCAAAGAAAGAAGGGGAATAAGAATTGTCACAACTAATTAATCAATAAAAGATAAATCTAGTTTTGCACTAATATAAAGAGAGGCAGTCTCAACTGGTGGCTAGAAGTGTTGGGGCAAATTTTAAGAATTCCAACAGTTCAGCCCTTTGAGGCATCAATACTTTAATCCAAAAAGTTGGTGGGAATTCTCCCCCCTATTGTTTTGAACAAAAAATTAAAAGAAAAACTCCTAAAATCATGATTAGACCCACACACACACATGATTGTCTATCACTCATTCTCTCTCTCCCCCCAAAATTTGCCCCACAAACCCCAGTCGGACCTTGTCCCTGCCAAAGCTCTTGCCGAAGACTCCCTCCATCGTCGTAACCCTCGCCTTCGCCAAAACCCTTGCTCCCACTATCTCAACCTCCACCGCCTCTAACTCTGACTCCACTACTGCCTCCACCAAAGCCTATCTTGCCTCCATCACATTAGCAAGCCTTAGCTTGCTTGGCGATGCTTTCTCCCCCTCCTATGGATGTAAGTCTCTCCTCTCCTCTCAAAACCCTAACCCTAATTTACCCCCTAATCCTATGTCTGGAGCGCCTAGGGTTTTCTCCAGCACCGCTTACTCCTCCACCTCCTACTACAGCAATTCACACGTCAATATCAAGGTTTAAGCCTCGACTCCACATTAACAATCGCCGATCGTCACTCTTTAAATAGGGTTGCTACCAATTTTTTGCTAAAAACACATAATATGTAGCAATAGATAAAATAAAAGTGAACAATGATAATTAACTACAAATAACAACCATCCAAGGACATACAAGATTTTATAGTGAGTTAGATAACAATCCTACATCTACTCTTACTTCTCCTAACTTTGGGTCTTTATATTATAATTAACACCGATTACAATAAAAATATTACAATAAAACTAAGAAATAATTTATATTTTTTGGGGGTTCTTTTTTGTGTGCCGATGGAATATTGATCTTGTGTTCCATTGATACACCGACTAAGATGATGAATCTTTTCCTGTTGATTATAACTTAATTACTTGAAAGATAACTCAGTATTCTCTTAGCATTTGGCTCAATAGAATCGCAAGTGCGAGGGTAATAATCTCTATTTGTGCATATGTGTTTATCTCTTTATTCGATCAGCCCCCTTAAAAATGAGCAATCTCCCCTCCTTTTAGGCTAAAAGAGAGAGTTAATGGCCTTTAATTGTGGATTAAGTGACCATCAAAATAGAAAATAATGGGGAACGGTTATTCCCTTGAAAATAGCCTTCTAACGGTTATTTGGTGGTGTTCGCTGCCATGGCGTAGTTCACTAAAGAGTTTTGATGAGGCTCGCTTGGATGTGTGTGAGCCTTCTTTGGGGTTATGGATGACATGACTCATTTGGATTATTATGAGCGAAGTTCATTGTTTGGTGAACTTCGTCTGTGAGTTTGAATTCAACATAAAATTTGACTCATAATTTGGCTGACTATTGACGCCTTTTTACTTTTCCTAGGGTGTGCATTGAGAGTTGACATTATCTTCACTTGATCGAGAGTCGAGATAAACTATGTGTTGTGGTTTGCCATAGCTGTTTGGGAGTCGAACCGTTCTTAACATGGTCGAGTCGAGTTGGGATAGGTTACATGGTGAGGTTTGCATGCTTTGTTAAGTGAACTTTGCTACAGCCTATTGTGGGCTAGAGTTTGGGCCCATTTGAAATATTTAGCCCATGGACGTTCACTTCTTAGACTCAAGCTAAACATTGGCCTAGGTAGAACTATATTATAATCATCTACAAGACCCCCCCCCCTAAAGGTTTTAAGATCCTACATTTGACTTATAGCTAGGATTAAAATAATTTGGGTAATAACTAGAGGCGTAGTGTCGAATGTAGCTTAAGTCATCTTGGTTGCATTTGAAAATCATCTTCAACTACTTGGTTGCCAAAGATGTACTGTTGAATGTGGCTTATTTGTTGTAGACTTGTATTAAAGCTTTAATGACGGTTGTACTCATCCAACTTTATGTTTAGAAAGAGGTTCACTTTCTCTATCACTGAAGTGAAGTTGAGAAATCTATAAAGTTTGGCTAATTTTGGGTTTCAGCGAGACTCAATTTACTTTAAGCTATGTTGGTAAAGTTCATCTATTAGCTATGTTCGCTAGCTCGTAATGGTTGCTGAGATTCACCTTTGTGTTTGCATCATGATCTCTTGGTGAGATCTCCTGATTGAAGATTCACGAGATCCGCTGTAGATTTGGTCAAGTTTTAAGCTAACATTTAGCCTCTTTGTCCGGTCCAATTAAATCTTAAGTGATATGATTTTCTCAAAAGTTTAGATTCAAAAAAACAATAAATAGCACCATTGCACTTCTAACTTCATCATCTTCATCTCTATCTTATTCTCCATCTTCTTCTCCATGTTTAAGTCTCCATTGCTTAAATCAAAGATGCTCTTCAATAGAGGAGCTGTAATAAAACAACTCTAATAAGAGCTTGTCCAAATGAAGGGGAACTAAGCAGATGAACTCTGCATACTTCACCTATTAGTGGATCTGTTGTCAGCTAAGAGGGAGCAGATCATTGAGAATCGATCAATCATTTGGGACGAGTTGAACCGCGATAGAGATATATGGAGATTCGAATGCTATCCTCTACGCAAGACTGCTCGACAATTGAGATGGCGATTGAAGAAGGATCCTTGAAGATTCACAAGTGAGGACTCCGATAGTAACTAGGTTTCACAAATGTGAACCTACAACATAATCAGACGTGGTGTTGCTGACTCAGGCTCAGCATAAAATTTTAGTTTTGAGAAGTGCTTCTTCCTCTTGACATGCTTCAGTCTTGTGCAAGGGGGTACTTCTTGTTTAATAGCTTCTTCTCATGCTCTGGCATATAAGGTTCAGGAATATGGTCTAGGGAGGAGTAAGTAGGAGCTATTTTTTGTACATGGGGAAAACTTGATTCTCTAAGTTTTGCGAGATCGGAGGATCAAGGGCTATAACATCATGTAGCTTGTGTATGATCCTCCATTTCACATTACCCATAGTTAGGAGAATAAGGTAGTAGTAAATAGTAATAAATACCCATCATTCCTATAATTGGATAGTCTGAATGTCGCCTTTATATAGTAGAGTCTTCGATCAATAAATATAAACTTCTATTTCTGAAATTGTCTTTTTTCTTATGGTTGATATGTATGAACTTTACTTCTGTAGCGAACTTGAACTCTGCATGGAGTTGTTGTGTTGGAAGCAAAACTCGAGCTTCCTTATATGTTGGCAAGGATTGAATTGAAGTTCGCCAAATAGGGTTCCCAAACAAATTGAGTTAATTTTTTTTTTAATTTAGAGACTTAGAGAAACTTTCCATATAGGTTCTCTTACAAATTGAGTTATAATTTCCTTAATTTGAAGACTTGATAAAATTCACTATATCATTTTATAGAAGTTGGACTTAACGCCTTGCTAAATAGGACAAAGTTTGCTTTCTTGAGAAACAGTCGGTTGACTAAAGCTCAATAAGTTAGTTAGATGAGGCTCAACAATTTGGTTAGACGAGACGCAACTAGTCAGTTAGGCGAGGCTCAGCAAGGCGGTTAGGTGAAACTCAGTCTAGGAATTCAAAACTTGAATCCTTGATTTTTTGCCCAAAATTATGGTGAAGTTCATCCAGAATGAGATTCTTAGGGAAGATTAAGGTGAGAATCTTTGGCAAAGTTTAGTGGGCGAGATCTTTGGCGAAGTTAAGGGTGAAAATCTTTGGAGAAGTTTGGGGTCAATCTATAAATAAGACTGTTTACTCATTTCTTCTTCACTTTGATTTTCAAAAACAACCATCCTTCTTAAAACCATAGCTTTCTCAGAATTTAAAAGACCAATATCCAATGGCTCCTCATCGTGTAATCTCCATGGGAAGATGCATTGCTAGGGGAGCTCGTCGTCCAAGGGAAGAAGACATGCGGCGCAGCTAGAAATCGCTATGGGTAGGCATCAAACCCACTCATGGCAATCTTTAGATTCATCAAATTTCAACCCATTTGGCTTGAAACAGTGTTTCTATTCACTGGTAAAGGTGTAATTTTTATGACCACTTGCCTATTCCTTACCAAAGGTGTGATTTTTATGACCACTTGTGGTCTTTTTGATGAACTTTCATCGATGATGAAGTTCTATTGGCTACCATTAATGACACTTATTGTGGCAAGCTTCACTTCTCAGGTAGAGATTTTATTGTTAACCCTTTGGGCTTCTATAGTGGGCCTCATTTGTGTGAAGATTGCTATTCCAATTTGAGTGACCTTCGCTCGAGCGAAGTTAGCTAGCTTGATTTGGGCAACCTTCTCTTAAGTGAGGCTCGATAGTTTGATTTGGGTGACCTTCGCTTGAGCGAGGCTCGCTAGTTTGGCTTGGCCGACATCTAATTGAGTGAGGTTTGTTAATTTGATCCATGTGATCTCTTGAGCTAATTTGATCGCAGTGCTAAAGTTCACTACTTACATTGTAAACTTCACTTACCTTGTCAATACTTAGTTGATAGAAATGACTTTCACTTATGGGTGAGGCTCGTCTATGGTGAACTTTGCATCTGAGTGTAAGGACTTGGTTGGTTTCTTTCGGTCTTTGTCCTCTAACTCATTTTTTTTGTTTGCCTCCTATGTAGTTTGTCATTTTAAGGCTTTTGTGGACCATCACAACCACTATGATCACGATTTCACTCATAACTCTAAAGTGATGCACGCTTTGATAGGAGCATCCCTCTGTTTCTTGAAAGTAGTTGCTATGAAAGGATCGATTGTTTCTTGAAAGTAGTAGCCAAGAAAGGATAGAAGCTATACGATTAGGTGATTGTCAAACTTTGTAGGAGATGATTAAGTATGCCAAGTTCTCTATTCCCAATGAGGATATGTTGAGGAAGCCTCACTTTCTTCTTAGGGATAGCAATCCTAATGACACTTCCTTATTCAATTGTGAGAGG